AAATTTCTTCAAAATCCCTCCAGATTTTTTTCTTTGATGCGGTCATAGACAGACAGACAGGCAGAAATTCTTAAAACTATAGGTTCGGCCTCTGTTAGCAATAATAATGTGTATTTCAATAAGATTTTCCAAAAAATATTTAAAGCACAGATACGGCTTAATTAAATTTTAATGTATCTACAGATGTAACTAATTTATAAAGCCAATAAAAACTTTTTAACAAAAAAATAAAAACCGACTTCAAACAAAAGCACTAAAAAGTAAAAAATAACTGATTGGTAGTTTTCATTTACTATACATACCTAATCAAATATTTTCGAAGTCGGTGTGCTTTGCTTTGTATGGGCTGGTACCGATTTCGAAAATATTTGATTAGGTATGTATTTAATAGGTAGGCTTTAATTACTTAGCCAAAGCACACCGACTTCGAAAATATTTGATTAGGTATGTATAGTAAATGAAAACTACCAATCAGTTATTTTTTACTTTTTAGTGCTTTTGTTTGAAGTCGGTTTTTATTTTTTTGTTAAAAAGTTTTTATTTTTCCCTTTTTAGTGTAGACAGTAGTAGCAAAGTAAGAATTCTAACGTGTTAGGCTTGTCGAATCAAACAAAATAAGCCCAAACTCAAAGTATCTACTATTAGCCGTTGAAGAGTTCCACCTATCCGCCTTCTGGCCTTACCATCAGATCAGGTCAACAATACCGAACCACTGTACTATCAACGGAAATAGAAACACTTGCAAAGTTTCAAGTCAATATGACAATTAGAAGTAGGTTAAATGCATCATTACCTATTTATCCACCCTTTTAAACAAAACAAAAATTGTCCAAATCGGTTAATAAATGAAGAGGTTCTGAGGTAACAAACATAAAAAAAAACCAGTCGAATTGAGAACCTCCTCCTTTTTGAAGTCGCTTGAAAAGATTGTTTTTTGATAATTTGAACACGGGCGGGGCCGCGGGTAATTTAGTAGCAATTGTAATAAAATCATAGAAAGGTCTAATTTGTACATTAAATTTTTTGGAATTGAAACTACGTATTTTAAAGACATATGGCGACATCTATTGACAAATTGAAATATCTAAATAATACAAAAATTAATTAAAATAACTTTTTTAATAAATAAAATAGTGCTATTGATATACTTTTTCAAGATTAGCTATTTTTAATAGTCTTTGTCATATTTAGTAAGTAAAGTTGCTAAAATGTATATATTATCAACGTTTTTTAATCTAACCAGTTTTGTATTTTTTCTCGGAAATAACATATTTTTCTGCGCTAAAAAGTATCCTATATGTTGACCCGGATAACCAGCTATGACCATACCAAATTTCATCAAAATCCGTCCAGTAGTTTTTCTGTGATGCGGTAACAGACAGACAGACAGACAAAAATTCTAAAAATTATAGATTCGGCCTCGGTATCGATAATAATCTCTATTTCAATAAGATTTTCCAAAAAATATTTAATGTACAGATTTGACTTAGTTAGAATTTTATTATACGAACCTATAGATTCGTACTGTATGACGTGTAAAGTACTTTTACAGAGTACAAGTATTAACCTGTAATATCAATATCAACTAAATCACACTAAAAATAGACATACATAATAATATGTAGGTATTAGGACCGGGCAGCATACATAGTCTGAACCCACCTAATATATATGAGAGCGTGTAATACCTTGGTACAGATAACCTCAGACTACGATAATTAGATTTACTTGACCGATTCAAAGTGTTTTAGTTATTCTTTTAATCAATTAAGCTTTTCATCGTAACGTTGTAGTTTGATTATTAGTAATTATTTCGCTCCCAAGGGTTATAGAGTAATATTAGATAACTTATTTATTTTGTACGTCACAAATAACTATCACACAAGCATATTTCTTTCATAAATAACTTTTATCCCATTATTGACATGATATCAATAGTTACGTCAAGATTAAGCCTGATTTGTATCCCTTAAACCCAAAAGTTTGCTGCAAAGTAGGGGATGAAAGTTTATCAATATTCTATTTTTATGCCACGTATGTATCTCATGTATTTCTTTCATAATAACAAAAAATCCAATGACTTTCTTCTCCTTTATAACATACCATTGACGGTTTACGCAAAAACTAATTCGCTTGCTTGAAATATAACAAGAAGTAAGAGTGAAAATTACAATTAATGTTTACATATGCAATGCCAGTAGGCGAAGTGGTAGTTTAGTAAGGTAAGTGGTAACGCGCTTGCTTGGGAAACCAAGTGAAGTGGGCTTAAATCCCGGGTCTTTCACCACTGGTATTTTCATGTGCGAATTATTTTTAATACCACAAATCTTCCGATAAAGGAAAGCATCGTGAGGAAACCCTACATGTCTGAAAACCTAGCAAGTTTTCAAAAGACATCTGAAGTCCGACAACCCACACTTACAGCGTAGTAGACTATGGTCTCATTCTCCTCACGTTGAAGGGAGGCCTGTGACGTTACCATCAGCAGCAGTTACGTTAAAAACGTTTTACATTTATTTAAACGTTATACATACATATATGTATACACTCAATGCCAATATCAAGGTATTTTATTTTGTATAAAATAATTTATTACATAGGTGTAAGCACACAAACGTCCTTTAACAATAAAAATAGTAGGTATTTTATTATGTTTTGAAATCAAAAACAAGATATTATAATAAAGTATTAATATATTTTCTCTATGTTTTCTATGTAAAGCATATCTAATAAACCGGTTAGAAGGTTAGAAGTTTGAAGTATGTATTATCAAACATAAACTTTAGTACGTACTGATATGAAAATAAACCTTGTACCTATAACATTGAGACTATTGTAAACAAATGAAATTAATTACATAACTGAATAATACTTGCGTATTATTCATATTTTTTTAGACATTTACTTTAGACTAGCGACTCACTCTCGCTTCGGTCGGGTTCGTACCTAATTCTTTTTCTAAAATAATAGTAGCCTATGTTCCTCCCTATAACATCATCTATCTTCCAGTGAAAGTCCCGTCAAAATCTGTCCAGCCCTTTCAGGGATTATCCGAAACAAACAGACATACAGACAAAAATTAAAAAAATGTGTTTTTCTTATAAGTACCTACCATATATAATTTCATATGCATTTAGTAAACCGCTGTTATTTTGACATTACAAACAGACACTTCAATTTGATTTATCTGTATAGAAAATCTTATCGAATTCTTTTCTGAATGTCTAATGGAGATTTTATCCAATCTCCAATCAATTTTAAGTGAATTGCGTAGTATCTATATCAACTTATATTATAAAGAGGCCGAGTTTGTTTGTTTGATTGAAGCGCTAACCTCAGGTACTATTCATCCGATTTGAAAAATTCCTTTCCCATTAGATAGCCCATTTATTGAGGAAGGTTATTGCTATATATTATCATGCTACTAAGGGAGCGAAGCAGTAATCTGAAGGGAAAGATGAGTTTGTTTTTGAAAATAGAGTTTGTACTTGAACGCGGGCGAAACCGCGGGTTCTGCTAGTATAATACATAATAACAGCAACCGTAAAGCGTTGTAATTTCTCACTTTGTTCTTAAAAACTCAACTGGCTTAAAGTCACTTAGTCTATGTTACTTCTTCATATTGGTTCAATCTAATAGGTTATGGACTATAACCTATTAGATTCAACCAGTATGGGAAATGAACCCAGGACTTCCAGATAATTGGTAATATTCATCACAAAATCCATCGATTATGTTTTCCAAACAAATCCAATAACATTAGCAACATTAGCAGGATCCTTTCAAAAACCATTTTTCTAAAAAAATATTCAACAATGTCGCAAAAACCCTTAACCATTAATGGAAATAGAACCAATCTACCGCACTGTATCAAATAAGTTTGTTTAATTTAAATCTTGTTTATTTTTAAATATAAATATTTACACGATTAAAATGAGATCAAATTAAAAAATATACATTTACATAACTAGTATTTTTTCGCGTTTATTTACAAATAGATAAACAAAGGCAGTGGTAGCCCAGTGGAAACGCGCTCGCTTGGTAAACCGAGTGAAGCGAGTTCAAATCCCAGCTCTCGCACCTCTGACATTTTCATACCTATGCGAATCATTTCCAACATGATTACCACTTGTCTTAACGGTGAAGGAAAACATCGTGAGGAAACCTGCATGTCTGAGAAAACCTAGTAAGTTTTCAAAAGACATGTGAAGTCCGCCAACCCGCACTTGGCCAGCGTGGTGGACTATGGCCTGATTCAGTACGAGACTGAAGGGAGGCCCGAGCCCAGCAGTGGGACGTTAAAAAGGGCTGAATACATATACACAGATAAACTTATATTTTTTATCAAAATAAAAAGCCTGAATATTTTTATCTATGCAATTAATAAAAAAGAAAGCCTAAATAATATTTACGTATTTACACAGTAAAATAAAGCATTCAATATTGTTATAAATTACTTTTGAATTGATATTAAATGTTTAGATCTCTTTTCGGTCTGTATTATCTTTTAACTGAAAACATATTCTGACAATTTTTCAATAACTACTAATTTAAAGGCGATAACCTATAAGTGCACGTATTAAAATATTTCTATAGAAAATGTATAGAAAGTATATAATATATCGTGTTATCCATATTCTACGAACATCATCTTTAGTGGTTAACATCATCTTGTGGACGTTATCAGGGCTCAAATCTTCCTCCGAGAGTCCCATAAATACTAACATGTTACATGTTTACATCTCAACTCTTTATCAAACAATTAGGTATTGCAAAGGGCTTACAAGTCTTTTAGACAATTTCGTAAGTCGTCATCTCAGGGGAGTAATTTACTGAATAATCCTATGACCTGTTCGCAGTTCGCTCCGTTAGTTTAGTGGGAGATTCGCGCTCGAGTGGTAGTGTCGCACGTTGAAGTCTCACAAAATACTTTCGCTCAAGTTTAAATTATAAGTGTAAAAATTTCTTATTATTATCATTTGAATATAATGAGAAGAAATATGTTTATTCTCCTTCTATCTGCGTTTTTGGTTGCAAGTAAGTTATATTAAGTTATCACTTATATATCCAAAATTTCAAGTTGCTAATGCACATAACATTATAAATTTTAAACTATTCTAGTATTCACTCAAATAGTAAACACACGAAAAGTATGTACGTATTTTATTATAATACATATATGTATTACTTAGTTGTTAAAGTCTCATTTTACTTTGTAATGATTTGGTATCTAACAAACTATTATAGGTACTATACAATACAAAAGCATTCAAAAAAATGTACAATTTATATAATAATAATTTTTAAATACACTTCATTAAAAAATAAAATATTTTTATCAAAAATATACATAACTAGCGACTCACCTTCGTGACGTTAATTATTGTAATGAGGTTTTATAAAATAAGGATCATGTCTGGTACAAAATGACTATACGTAAACTTATAGTATTTTTTTATGTTTAAGAGGCATTAAATCCAGTATATTCAAGAAAGTTTTTTTTTAAATATATAACAGACTTAATCTTTGGTAAGAAAATTTTGACCTCATAATGTACTAACGACTAACGAGTAGCGACTCACCCTCGCTCGGATTCTTCGCTAGTTAGGCTATAACGTTTAGTATGTATAGATTTCTCAGAGATGAGATTTCCGCAGTAAAAATATTCTAATTATGTTGACCCGGATAACCAGATATCATCATACCAAATTTCATCTAAATCCGTCCAGTGGTTTTCTCATGATGCGTTCCCAGACAGACAGACAGACAAACAAACAAACAAACAAACAAACAAAAATTCTAAAAACTATAGTCGGGATCTTTATCAATATATACCTAATATAATCTATATACCTAAATAAAAATGAATCACCGAAATGAACGTGCATGACTTCGGATCGACTGCACAAAATTGTTTTTTTTTATGTTTGTTATTGTCAGGAAGTTTTGTATATAAGAAAATTAAAAGAAATTTTATTTTTTACTAAAATAAGTTTTCTTTTAAATCTCATGCTATGAAAGTGAGTGAATTACTTTTTATCCCGAAAATCATCCCTTAAGGGTTTGAAAATGGGGATGAAAATTTTTATGGGAAAGCAAGCCAAAATATAAAAATATATAATATACTAGTATTGGCCACGACTCCGCCCGCGTTCAGATGACCAAAAACCAAATTATTAAGTTTTACATACTAGTAAAAAATCCAAAAATAGCAATGTAGGAGTACTTTGCAGTTTAAGTATTTTTTCTCAGAGATAAGATATTTCCCACGGTAAAAAGTATCATATATGTTAACCCGGATAACCAGCAATCACCATACCAGATTTCATCAAAATCCCTCCAGTGGTTTTTCTGTGATGCGGTAACAGTCAGACAGACAGACAGACAAAAATTCTATAAACTCGGACTAGATTCGGCCTCTGTATCGATAATAATGTTTATTTCAATAAGATTTTGCAAATAATATTTAATGTACAGATTCGGTTTAGTTACAATTTTATTATATGTATTGACTATTCCAATAAGATTTTCAAAAAAATGATTAATGTAGGTACAGATTCGAGTCAGTGAGTTAGTTAAATTTTAATTTATTTTTATTTATTTAATTTGTATATAATGTTCTAAAAATAGCCAAAAAATCACATGAAAGCTTTTCACTAAAGTATCTTCAAGTAGTACGAGAAGAGCTTCAGTGTACAGATACTTTTCATGATATCCCTACTAGTTCATAGAAAAGGCAATATATTGTAAAAATATATTTTAATTAAATCTTTTGTTGGATTTATTTTGACAGTATTTTTATTTTCATTTATAACTTTATCGTCATACTTATTTTGAATAAGATTTTTTGATAATTGACTTGGTGATATCAACCTATGTAGAACCATTCATAGGTAATCTAAAATCCAATCCCTGCATTCAGTTAATTCTATCTGTATACTATGATAGAAATATTCAATAAATATATATTAATACCTCTGTTCAATAGGATAGAAAAAAATGTATAGAATAACAATTGAAAATCTTAAAGATCATTAAAATGAAGAAAGGCCTTGAAGAAAAAAAATTAAAAATAAAATAAAAATAAAAATCTTTATTTGGAACAAACTTACAAAATCAGAACATTGTACGATATGGACTACATTAGTTAAAAACTGTGTTGTAGTCAATAACGCCCACCTCCAAGACATTTAATTAATATTAATACTAGTTCCAATAGCTTACATAGAAGTAGTTATAAAAGGTAGTATAGTTATATTTGCAGACATAGATTCTAGAATTAAATACAATAATATATATAGTATAATGCTGTGTGTGTGTGTGTGTGTGTGTGTGTGTGTGTGTGTGTGTGTGTGTGTGTGTGTGTGTGTGTGTGTGTGTGTGTGTGTGTGTGTGTGTATGTGTGTGTGTGTGTGTGTGTGTGTGTGTGTGTGTGTGTGTGTGTGTGTGTGTGTGTGTGTGTGTGTGCGTGTGCGTGTGCGTGTGTGTGTGTGTGTGTATGAGAGTTGTGACTGCCACTTAAGTAAGTAGATTTTCAGTATCTTCATAGGTAAGATCCTGTAACCAAGCGATAGTTGCACTTTTGCAAACATGTAGTGTCTTAGGAAATATATTGATAATTCTATTTATTCTATTATATATATTTGAAGAAAAATAATAATAGTGTCGTCGACACAAAGCCAATCGACTACGATGGGTTTCACAAACTATATCAGATCTACGTTTATTGTGAATTGTATAGTCCTTGTATGGGGTTTGTGAATGTTTGCGTAGTATAGTATGTAGAATAAATAGTTTCCTAACCGATAATACCCGTGTGACTTTATATAGCTCATCGGTAGGATACAGCATGGATTTAAATGTCATGGTTTTAAGAATTGTTCTTTGAGCCCTTTCAAGACGAAGTAATTTAGTTTTTCCAGTCCCTCCCCAAGCTGTAATACCATAAGATAATATTGATTGTGCAAGAGCATAATATACATTTTTTAACAATGGGAAATCCATTAATGGTCTTAGTTTCTTAAACACGAAAATCAATTTACGAAGTTTTGTGTAAGTAGCCGCAATATGCTCTTTCCATGTCAGGGTGTCGTCAACCCATATGCCCAGATATTTAACACAAGTCACAGGAGTAATTTTTTTACAAGTACATTCGACATTTCTCTTACAATTTTGCTCATGAAAATGGATGGAAATACGGTCAGACGGGAGAGAGTTTTTATGTGGAGCAAAAGTAATAAAATTAGTTTTTTCAAAATTTAACGTTAAAATATTTAAATTTAGCCAATTATAGACGGAAGATAGTGCACTTTCTGCACGTGTACTCACTTCTGGCCAGCTTTTACCATGAACGAGAAGTATCGTGTCATCAGCATATGAAATTATACTACAGTTTGGAATAGAGAGTTTAGACAATTCATTGACATAGACAAGGAATAGTGTTGGCCCAAGGACACTGCCCTGTGGTACTCCAAAACTTAAACCAACTTCATCACTCACGGTACCATTAATTACCACGCACTGAGATCGATCACTAAGATAACTTTTAAATAGATCATTCACTACTCCTCTTATACCAATGTCATTTAATTTTGTCAAAAGATTAGTAATTGAGACCGTGTCAAATGCCTTAGTTAGATCTAAAAATATTCCAATAACTTTGTTTTTACGGTTAAAATTTTGAACGATTGTAGTGGTAAGGTCCAAGATCGCATCTTCAGTTGACTTACCACTTCTAAAGCCATATTGGTTCGGAGCTATAATATTATTAGCGGTTAGATAATTGTTAAGTCTACGGTTTAATAGTTTTTCAAATATTTTAGAGAAAGAGGTTAAAATTGAAATAGGTCTGTAGTTATTAATTTTATTTGCATCTCCGTTTTTATAAATTGGATGATGAATTATCCTATCTTAGCCTAGATGTATCTATTATACCTATATATGTTATACTTTATATAGGCTTAATGTATATTGCTATATATGTTATATTTACACGTTCATCGGAACTCTAACTTAAAGGAAACGGGCACTATTAGTTAGTTTATTTGTTTATTTTAAGGGTCTATCCCTTAAAATACCAAAATATTAGTAAGTAGGCCTAGTACAGTGCACAGCACTTTTATAAACTGACGTTTAAAATAATTGGCGTATAGACTTTTCTCTCTAAAACCAGTTATGTGTAGGATACCAAAAGGATCCTTGTACGTCGTTTTTACGTTATTTTTTAGAAATCTGTTTTTATATGTTTGTATTAATAATTGTATGTTGACAATACCAATTCTATTATTAAATCAAAGAAGAAGATACTCAGAAACTATACAAGAACTAACCAAGGATTTAGGGAGCTTATTCAATTGCAAAATCAAACATTCTTTGACCCTAAATTCATCAAAGTCATTTAAGAGCAAAAATGACTTTTTAAAAGTTGCTTTATTTATTTCACTCTTGCGAAATAATCATAATTTATTGGACTGAACGTTCCGTGAATATAACGCTTCAACGACGGTGGATTAATGTTATTATTTATATTATTAAAGTGTGGCACATTTTGTATTCCTGTCCTGTAGGTGGCGTATTTTATAATTGTTGAAAGTGTTAGAGAAGTTTTAACCAAAATTATTCTGAAATTAAATTAAAACTTTTATTCTAGCACTAAGGAAAATAACAATTTAAACCGTATTTAAGGACAAGGTCTAACACGCATAGGTTAACTGTTAAAGTGTCTAGCATGTGCGGCTGCATATTTGGATGTCCTAGGTTTGAGTCCCCAGGTCGGACCAAATTCAGCTACTGAGTATTTCTGTCAAGAAATCTCATGATTTATTGACAGAAATAGTAGCAGCCAAGAGTTGGGAATTTGTTGAAGCCGTCGTCGTGCGCCTTATCTCTCACCGGTTATGTCGAATTTTAGTCCCACCGGAGTATGAGAGTGAAAGGAATAGAGAGTACTGTTGTATCTGCGCGCCTACTTGTGCACTATAATATCGCCTTCACATTGGCTGCAGTGGCCGTAATCAGTCAGGAGGACATTCATTGCGGTTATATTTCACCCGGTTTTGGTCAGAAAAAAAGCTATCTCGAAAACGAAATGAGATATCGAAAAAATAAAAAAAACCTAGAGATATGAGTTTGGCTATACTTAAAAAAAATGAAGGTGCGTTGCACTGATGGGTTATTCAGAAATTGCATCTTTGTGACGCAGAGTTTACGCGCGGAGAGCGCGTGAACACGATAGAGACGATGAATAAATGTTTTGGAGCATGATTATGTTTTTGGACGAAGTGATCCTTTGTGAATTAATAAATATGTATTTGAATAAATAAAGTATAAAGATAGATCATAGATAAAGTTATTTAAACATTTATAATTTCGACTACAGTTCATTGTGTCAAACATGTGGCGCTTATTGTTCTAAACATAATGTTTCTTCAACGCGTGTACAATGATTGTGTCTTAGCTCGTAAAAAAATGAGTTTTATTAGATTAATAATTTACTATACTACGAGTACCTACTTCGTCATTTTTTTGATAAATAAATATTCAGTCCATTTGGCACATTCATTTACAATACATACCCGAAGGTCGTGGCAGACACGAGATCTGTGGATTTTATTATTGTGTACCTTTTTACAAAAAAGAAAATTACTAATATACTAAATTATATATACAAAATAAAATATGTACATTGTACGCACTTAATTATTACTGTACAAGTCATGTTCGCGTTCCCGCATTCCCCCGTTGAATGGCAATGCAGATTCTTTGGGCGAAAAATGAGCCAGCTCTCCTGTTACCAGTAGAGGCGATAAAAAAATTATAACACCTCGGTGTTATGATTTTTAAGAAATACTAGCTAGCACATTGATTCCATTGGTCAAGGGTTCCTATAGCAAATGGTATAAAAACATATTTTTGACAAAGTTAGGCGTATTTACGCAACTTGAATAGTCATAGCCATTTTCGAAGATTAGTTAAAGGTAGGACGTGCAGCCAGTGCCCCAAAATTTAATTTATTCTTATTAATTTAAGATTGATTTAAAATTTCGATATATTATACAATGTACCTACTCCTGTATGTGGACATGGTTTTATTAAAGGTCCATAACCCTGTACCCCAGAATATACAGGAATAAAATATATATTATTTGAAAGTTTAGACCTTTATACTAATTAATCTGGACTAAAGTTATAAAGGTTGAAAAAAATATTGTATTCGCTACAATGTTATTATAATACGATTATCGTATGTACAATAATCGTATTATGATCGTGACCTTGTAAGGGGGTATTCTCTGGATCTACTTAACCGATTTAGATGAAATTTGGTAAGAAAATAGTTTAAGTTAACTTTGTGACAAATTATCTCTAACAATGTCGTACATTTAATATATTTTATCTTTATCTTTTTTACGTAGGCGGAGGTGATGCGCAATTAAGTGAGGAGGGTTGTGATTCGAGTGAATTAAAAATATGCGTGGATATGACACCTCGTACGCCAGTGGGCTTACCTCGTACCAGAGAAGAACTAGACGCACATTGCCTGTAAGCTAATCATAAAGAATTGCTATTACCCTTTTAGGTTTAGAGGAAAATTTGTTTGTTTTTTTTTGTATGAATCTTAACTTGAATGGAAAAGTTTATATTGTTATGTATTGAATAACAAAGTGAAAATGTATTTAATATTTATAGATAATTATGCTTACCTGTAAATAGATATATAACGTTATCATATTATTATACGTGATTACCTTGTGGAATAAATAATCCATCATCATAAATAGTTGGCATGATCCCTACATTCATAGGGTTAGTCCTGCAATGAATTATTTAAACTCATAGCTATTATAAAATGTACAAATTATGAGTTATTTAAAATGAAGTGTATATTTATTATTGTTTGTCTCATAAATTTAATAATAATCTTGGCATGTCTTTAGAGCTTACCAGACGGGCATGACGTGTATGGATGCCTGGATCAAGCGTTGCCTGCCAACTGACGGCCAAAAACTAGTACAGCAACAAATTGGCGGCGCTCGTGCACTCATGCGCTTCCTATGCACTAACGATACATCACTTCGAAGAGGTAATTCCTATTTCTAAGGTTCTGTATATCTTTGTGCAAGATGTTTCACACCCTTTCTTCCAATATCCCTACGGCCTCAGCTATCACTCTCACCTCCACTCATTGACATTGAAGGAGCAAAGTGCCCGTAAATTGTTATCAACTTTGAACGAATTTCCTTAAGGGTTAATTTATCCAAAACGAAGAATTTTATGACCGCACGATATTCAAGTTTATTCATTTTAACGAAAAATACGCAAGACGTCTACTGCAAAAGTACGTGTAAACAAACTACTCGAAAGAACAAGTTGAAACTTGCCATACGAACTAGTGACACATGCACCTAGGCAGGAAACAAAAAATTTCGATGCTTAGAACGCCATTTCTATGTCAAACCGAAAACTTTTCACCTTACCCTAAAAAGTTCGTTGAAAAAAAGGGAATGTTTACATAAATTATGAGTATAATTTATACATAATAATGAAATAATACCAGTCCCTTTGTCCTTTGAAAAGTTAAAAGCATTTAGAAAAAATACATATCTTATTGGTAGGTATATATACCAAAACTATTTTTTGAGACATATGAGAATAAAAAAAATCTCATGAAAAAAATTAACTGACTACTTATCTGTCTGTTTAACTGCAATTGATAACAACAATTGATGTAATAGAACTTTAATGTAAACAAAAGCATCACATCACACTGAGCTACCTTTCCTCCTTATCCTACTTACCGTGCGAGCAAAGCCGGAGGGCATAAACTAATAAAGATATATTTTAATTTTATTTCTTTAAATTTGAGCTGAATATCGAAGTAAGTATTTCATTTTATATTTATATAGATTTCCTGAAAGAACCAAAGTGCTGGACATTAGTGTCGCCTGATTGGTCGCGATGCGTAGATGAGTTGCAGCTGGCAGTGCGTGACATCTCCGAGCAATCCCATCATATTGTCTACTTCAATAAGAATACTGAGCTATGCTGGTAAAATGTCAATCTTCTTATCTTAAAGATTTCTTAATTTTATGTTTTATATTATCAATATTTGCTGCTAATAGGAACATTCTCCGTTACATAGCAATGCGGGTTATGTTATCCAATTAATAAAGAATTGAATTACTGACAACGTTAAATTGCTTGGAGGTCAAGTTTTGGATGGCTATATATTTTTTTATAAAATACCATTATCATATTATATTATAATTTTATATAGGTAATACTGTCTTCCGAGATATAAAAAAAACCCTAGAGATAGTAGTTTCTTCAATGACTTACATATATTTTATTTAAAGAAATTGAAACGCGACAGACATTGTCCTGTGCAAATTTCCATTTTTTTGTGATCTTTAAGTTTTTACAAAAATTCTATACAAATGAGAGACACTTTCAGATTTCTCCAGCATTTTCGATTTTTTCATTTTTTTGCTTATATAAGAAGCACGTGCACTAAATTATCCATTGCCCAGTCCATTGTTACGAGTATCGACATTTTTCAATCGCCCTTGATATTATTGACGGAAATAATTATATTTTCTTTTGAGGCATCAGTTGTTTATTTTACCACTACCCAGACCCATGTCTTACTATAAATCATCAAACTACAGTCTAAAGGGAAATAAATCATGTGATCTCGCCGATTGAATATATAGCCTTTAAGAGACGTAAGCTTTTATGTGAGCCTCCCATTTGATCAAGTTTGGTTGTTTACTGGGCCGTTGAGTCAATTTGTTTCCCAAATAAAGAATATTCGACTGAATATTTTCATTTTAATTATCATAAACATGCCATACCGCACAAAATGATTGAGCACTACTTCAATGATATTGTTTATTGATTTGCATGCATTACTTAAGGATATAACTATAGTTGTAATTTAAGGATCAAAAGCCAGTACTACCTACTAAAACTTTATAAATTCTCATCTCATCACAATGAGATACTGCCTTCTCTCTAATGCTCTCACATTCAGATACAATGCCATTACGGCTAGCCTACCGAGGCAGGCTTTCTTATTAGCAAAGCTGCCCAACTGCTGTTGCTGCTTTCCAAGATATTGGAAGTTACGTTAAAAAAATTTGATAGTATGCAAAAAGTAGGTACTGTATGATTATATTATTTAGTATGTTATTTATGATAATGTATAAAGTCGCTAAAACATATTCACGGCCGAATCCAGTAGTTAATAACATAGTTGTACTTATAAAAGTTACCGGACTATTATTATAAAATAGCGTCTTACCCTCGCTTCGCTCAAGTACGTCCCTAGGTACGTTTTACATAAATCTTATATCCATACTTAATATTATAAATGTATTAGTGTGTTTGTTTGTTTGTCCTTCTTTCACCTCGAAACGGAGAAAAGGATTGACGTGATTTTTTGTGTGGAGATAGTTGGAGGGCTGGAGAGTGACCTAGGCTACTTTTTACCGCGTGAGATTATCTCATTCCCCCGGGAAAACACGCTATAATATAATCAAAAAATATTTATGATCAGAATTACTTGAAACTTGGCATTATTGCTCTTCAATAAAATTAAATAAATACGTGTTTTAGCATTTTACGAAATTCATTCTATAAGGGGGTAAAATACAAGATGTGTTTGTTGTTTGTATGAAACTTAATAATTCATTACTAAAGCATTAGCAACATGTACGAGCCTTATGTTTTCAAACCAATTGCAAGTGTTAGTGGGCGGAGCTAGACAGTTTTCTGTCCTTATCAGTTTGTACGCTAATGTGGGACAGAGAAAGTGCTTTGCATGGTTCACTCCGTGAACAGAGTATAGTAGTATAATAATGTAATACTTACAAAACTTTAACGACAGTGCTCGCGACGCTTTTGTGATGTGTGTCTCGCTGGCTGGACGAGCCTGTTCGCCGTCTGCTGCGCACTTGCTGCGGCGCATGGCGTGGGTGCTAGCGCAGGACGTGGCAGCGTGCAGCGCACAGCCGCGTGCGCACTGCGGGGCCGCGCTGCCTCCCCTCGCCGCCCCCACGCTCGCCGCCCTGTCTAGCGCAACCGCTCTACTCTACCCACACAGACTATAATTTTTATAAAAATAAACTGTTAATTTACTGTCCTCTATGGTGTCCATATAGAATGTGATAAGGTAATTACTGTTTATAATTCCTATTTTAAAATACCAACTATCTATCTGTATAAATTAAATGGAAAAAGCTTTTACTTTTAAAATATATGATTTATACAAAGTAATTTCCAATTCTAATCTTTTATTTAGTTTCATATTGTAAATCTTTGTATATAAGAGTATGTAAAAACTAAAAATTATTTACAAGTTTTAGTTTTTTTTTTAATTTTTCATACATTTAGATTTTAGTTTGTTGCTAAACTTGTTTTTTAATTCAAGCACATAATATGTATTTGTCTCTGAGTTCATAGCAAAGGGTCGCTATACCGATGGCGAGAGTCGAGACTCAGCACTTCCTCTCTGAAAATGGATGTTGCGTAACATGTATCTATGTTTATATATTGTTACGGATTCAAAGGTTCTTAGAACCTTTTCTCATTAAGGCGCTTTGTTTGTAAAGCACCTATGAATTGTGAATTTATTTGGTTAATACTACGAATAGTCATAATAGAGTGAATGTAAATAGGTTTTATGAATTAAATTATATACATATATTATATGAACATAAATTTGTTTTATTTATTAAAGAAAATTGGATATTGCTACTTTGATTACCTCACGAGGGTTACGTTCTACCAAATATTTGTGTTGTTTTCACTTACATAATTGAAAAGTAAAATGAAATTGTTATTTATATATTATATTCATTATATCGTTATCACAAGAACGTTGTTTTCATAGTTTTACACAAAAGTACTGTCTATACTGTAAAGGTAGGTATTAAAGGTATGCTACTATAGGTATACAACTTAAAACTTGAAATAGAGTTCGTTTGTTTGAACGCTCTTATTTCTGGATCTACAGGTCTCATTTGACAAATTCTTTTTGCGTTTTACAGCCTATTTGATGATGAAGGTTATAGGCTATTTTACATCATTTATATCATATATAACCGCGAGAAAACGCTAGTATAGTTATATCAGGTAAAGTAACAATGTGTGGTCGGAAGAATGTCATTTCTCAAAAACTACTCAACATAATATAAAAATTCTATGAAAATAATTTGGAATCCTACGTATTACTTAATTTTTCACTTTAAAAGTTAGAAGGACACAACGTTTTTTTTTATTGATGACAAATGTCTCGTTGGGATTTCAAGTGGAAGCGGAAATGATCTCAAGTATTTTAATAGAACAATAAAATGAATAGGTAAATAGCACAATCTTAGAAAAATAACCAATGTTTGACTTGATATACTTACAATAAATTATTATTTACCTAAATCTTAATAAAAGCCCCTAACATATTACGAACATGCGAATAAACCTAACAATGAATGCGTAGCACTTTGTATTTAATAATTTATAGAGATGACCCTACCTTTTCAAAAACACTTGCTTTATAGGTTCGAGGCTATGCTGTTATGTTATCATTTTGTACTTTTGATTTGAAATTTTATTTAAATAATGAAATCAAAAAGACAATAAGATTTTTATTTTTATTAAAAAGGGATTTTTTACTTAAAATAATAATCCTTAACTACAGATCTTATCAGCTGACAGTTTAGTCGGATTAGAATAGCGCAGACAATGGAAACAGCAAAACTAAACAGAAATAATAAGAAACAGTATGTAAAAAAATGAAACACTTTTGCCGTTTTAATCGTTTTAATATCAGTAATTAATAAAATTTATAAATTGTATTGTATTCGGCTCTTTTTAACGTCCCACTACTGGGCACGGGCCTCCCTTCAATACGAGGGGGATCAGGCCATAGTCTACCTTTACCATTCCAATAATTTACTAGGTAAAACTATGCTTGAAAAGAGCAATCGAAAATCGAAAATGAATGTAAAACTATCTTAACATACTTCACTGCTATTGAACAAATAAAAAAAACACGGTAAGTCATGAGTATTGTATTTTTTATTTCTTTTTTAGACAGCGTGGACGTTTTTCAATCTCCTTAAATTTATAATGGTTCGTCAAGCTATGCCATTATAAAATGGACCGAAATCAGACCGAGCCAAAGTTTAGAACATATTGAAACAATTAGAAAATCTGTGCACATAAAAAAACTTTAAAACTGGTAACCAACAGTTTTGTTGGCATTTTATGAGTATTGGTGGCAAACAATTTTATTGGACGCTCAAGGATATCGAAGATGTTTAGAAAAAATAGCAACCACATGGAAATAAATGATTACACTGTCTGTAAATTAAAAAAAAGATGTATTTAATCCAATCACAAAATAGACTAAAGGATACATAAAATAGAAATACTTCCCAAAAGAAAACAAATATTGTGACAATGCTCAATGCGATGCATTATGCAATGCAAATTCGTCACTTTGAGCAGAAATATTGATATTTGTTATTGTTTCTCTATATCAAATATCCCTATCTCCGGCGCTAGAAAATGCAAGAACAAATAAGGAAAAGTGGTCTGCTGTTAAAATGATTACAGGTTCTAATAATCAGAAAACTACTTCAGAGTATCTCCTTAATATCCGAGAGAACCCCTATGACGCTGTAGATGATGTAAATAAATATTTTTCGAATGCTGGAATGTTACTTTCGAACAACATTACACAATCACCAAGTACTACTTCGCTCGCAACCAGTAATTATATGTCTTCCACCTTAAGCTCGATGGCTCTTCTACCACCTGATGAAAGTGAAGTTGAGGCTCTGATCGTTAACCTAAAAAATGATAGTGCTGTTGGTTGGGATTCAATTTCAAACAGGTTCCTTAAAATGGCAAAACACATTATAGTACCACATTTTACTTCTTTAATAAAATTATGTTTCGAACAAGGTATTTTCCCCAAAGTGTTTAAAAAAGCTTTAATAACGCCTGTGTACAAGAGTGGGGCACGAGACAGTGTAACTAATTATAGACCAATTTCGGTGCTTCCAGCGCTTTCTAAAATATTTGAAAGAATTTTAAATAATCAACTAGTAAATTACTTGGAAACAAATCAATTACTATCAAGCTGTCAATTCGGTTTTAGAGCGGGAAAAAGCACTGAATGCACTGTCGGATCTTTGATGGAATATGTCACAACAAATCTTGATAAAAAGCAAAAGTGTGTAGGTGTTTTCGTAGATCTTGCTAAAGCATTTGACACTGTCTCGATCCCCATTCTTGTGGAGAAGATAGAGAGATATGGCATACGGGGAACAGTACTGAAAATTTTTACTGATTTTCTCACGGATCGACAACAGAGGGTTAGGATTGGCAAATATGTTAGCTGTGATGAAACTGTTACCTGCGGAGTTCCTCAAGGCAGCATTCTCGGTCCAAGTCTCTTTTTGTTGTACATAAATGATCTGTGTCAAATGTCACTCAATAATGGTAAAATTTTCATCTATGCCGATGACACAGCGTTTGTATTCCATGGGGAGACTTGGGATAAAGCTTGTCAAAATGCAGAAATGGGACTTCACAAGGCTTATCTCTGGCTAAATTGTAATTTGCTAACCTTAAATCCTGCTAAAACAACTTTTGTCCAGTTTACAAACTCTCGGAAAAAACATCCCGCTGTAAAAATTCGTCTACACACGTGCGATGTCACAACTAAACAAAACTGTCCATGCCAAGATATCGGTAGAACTGCTGTCGTTAAATACCTCGGAGTACTCGTGGATGAGACACTAACCTGGCGACCCCATATTGACATGATTGCTTCTCGAGTCAGGAAACTGACGTGGTTGTTTAAAAATCTGAGGCATGTGGCTGATTTTCAACTACTACGTTCAGTTTATTACGCACTAGTCCAATCTGTCCTTAGTTATTGCATTGGGGTCTGGGGAGGCTCGCCCAAGACACACATGATACACCTCGAGAGAGCTCAACGCTCCGTGCTAAAAACGATGACATTCAAACCATATCGATTCCCCACGCGGTCATTGTATGACATATGTAACGTGCTGAGTACTAGGCAGTTGTTTATTTATCAAGTTTTTACGAAACAACACCGGTCTACTCCTTATGATCCCAACTTACTTCGCAACAAACGGACCATAATAAACATTATACCCCCCAAAATATGTCATAGTTCCATGACTTGGCGTCAAGGTAATTCTCTCGCCGTATAGTTATACAATAAAATTAATAAAATTCTTAATTTTTACCCACTCACATTACGTGAATGTCAAAAAAAGTTAGAGATTGGCTGTTTACACTTAGCTATGAGGAAACGGAAAAGATATTAGAAAGAAATTTATAAAATGCTGAACGAATACATACGCACACGCACACACACACACACGCATATACACACACACGCACATACACACACATACACACAAATACACACTCACTCACACATATACACCCACACACACACACACATGTATTATACTGTATTTTACGTAACTTCACTTAGTACATTTTTGTTAAAGTTAATTTTTATTCTACTTTTTATTTTATTTTTTTCTTTCACAAAGAATTTCTAAAATTAAGTTAAACATGCACCGTAATATTATTGACCTCCAATTATCATTAAAGATGGAAGAGGGCGCTGACTCCTGACATACAGGTTTATTCTAGTTTGGGAGTCAGAGGCTTCAACAGGCTTATGTAACAACAAACAATTGTGTCAATAAAGATTCTATTCTATTCTATTCCCTATGAAATTACCGTTTTATGTTGGAAGTTGGGATATTTCAAGTAACTAATATAATAACTTACATTAATTAACAAATAAAAAGATAGAAAAATCAAACTAACTAACAATTTAAGCTAAGTATAAAAATAATGTAAACTCTCGTCCACTATAGCTCTTTCCAAACATATTAACAATAAATACATTATATTAGTAATATGAAAATATATTGAACACTATCAAATTTCACTATAAAACTAGATTAATAAGCTTTTGTGTGATAGATCCTTGGAGAACAGATAGGAATCTGAATAAGACGTCGTTATAGTTATAGCACAAATACTACTA